TTCCTGTTTGGGTATGTAGGGAGGGGCAGGGACGTGTAAAGAGAATTTTAGTGGCAGGTGGTCTAACTTATATTCATTCAACACATCCTTCATTCTGGGTATACCCATCAATACATAATTCTCCAAAGGAGCCATGCCTCTGCCTGTGCTGCTCTTTCTGCCTGGACTGTTCATTCTCCCCTCCTTGCCTCCTCCTTGAAAACTCAGCTCAAGTGTCACCTGTGGTCACCCCCTCTCCCCCCCACCCCCCCACACACATCCTGCCTGAAACACATCCTGATGCCAGACTGTCGTAATAGTCATGCTCATTGCTTAGTGAGCACAGACCAGTGCAGACACTGCCCGGCATTTCCATGCACTGGTTCACTGAACTCACATAACAAGCCCATCATGAGCCCATTTTACAGATGGAGAAGCCGAGTCTCAAAACAAGTACCATGCCCAAGACCACAGCCAGGAAGGGGCAGGGCCAGCATTTGGCTCCAAACCTCCCAGGTTGGCTCCCTCCTTTCCATGCCGGCTTTCTCCGGAAACTCCCCGGTTTATCCTTGTTTCTCCTCCCAGGCCCTAACGCCAACCTCAACCTCTTCTTCCCATAGCAAGCTCTCCAATAACTAAACCCTGAACCTCTTTCTCCCCACCCCCTCACCCCCAATCCTGAAGGCATAGGCCCCTCCTCCCATTATCACAACTGGCCCCTTCTAAACAATGGCTTCCTTTCACAAAGCCTTTACCCCTCCCTTAAGGATGTGACTGCCAGTGCCTTGAAGTACTTGTTGAATGGATGGATGAATGAATGAATGTTTAAAATATTCTTCAGGGGCTCTTTCTCTCAGCGGATCAGAGATGAAACAGGTGATGCTGACATGGGAGAAATGCTCAGGGCCAGACAGTGGGATCCTCCATTCTCTTACCAAGGTCAGCCCTGAACAAAAGCCAGCCCCCAGGACCTCCAAGGGGAACGAGGCCCTTCCAGCCTCAGAATCTGGGGTGAGGGCTGCACCCCCATCAAGAGCCAGCACAGCTGCCTCACTGGACTGGAGGGAAAGCTGATTACTTCACAGCTAGAATGTAATGCCAGGAGGACAGATTCTATATTGCCCTGGGCCATAGCACGTCTATAGTAACTGCCACATCATAGTAGGTGCTACACACACACACACACACACACACACACACACACACACGAAACATGTGCCCAGACACTGTACTGAAACCCGGCTCTTCTCTCCGGTAACTGCACCCTTGTCAAGCATGTACTAGTAAATCCTTTAAAAAGGATTCCTCCTAAAACCACCAGAACGGGAGCTGGTGTCTGCACAGCTCCCTCGGGAACTGTCCCCGGGCTGAGATGCCTGTGTCTGGGGGTGAATGCATGTTTGTCCTGGAGCCTCGATGGATCAGCAAAGGGAAAGCTGGGCCAAGGGAGAAGCCTTGTCCAAAGGCCCTGGTTACTGATTAGCCAAACCCCAGAGCTTCTCACTGCAAGGACTGGAGGAGGGCGGGGTGGGGTGGGTGGGGTGGTGGGGAGTCAGTCTTTCAACCCCTTTGGAAGAAAGACCAAGTTAAACATCTCTCTAACCCTGCAGTTTACAAAGGCAACAAGTTGGGTTCCCGGAGCCCTCCCTCGGATATTGTAGAGGAAGCACAGGGGATGGGATGTGGGAGAGAAGGGGACACAAATGAGGGCCCACTAGTATCTGTTCCATACCTATCATACCCACTAGTCTTTCCAGCGGAACAAGAGGAAGGGTTGTGATCCCCATCCTCACCTAATTTTGCTCAGAAGAGAGGCCTGAACTCAGAGAGGTTAAGAGTTTTGCCCAAGGTCACAAAGAAGCTGCGAAGAAAAAGCTCTTTCTTTGTGCAACAGGTACAAGCCCTTTCCTTTCCAAAAGGTAATGGCTGCTCCCGGCTAGAGGAACTTGTCCAGCGGCAAGAAGCATTGGGACACCTGGGCGAATCGCAGGGGTCGCACACCCCGCTCCGGGGCTCAGAGCAGGGTTTCAGGGCGCGGCGCCCCGGCTGGAGGAGAGTGTGTGCCAGGAGGGTGTGGAAAGGTCAGGCTTGGGTGGGGGTCAATGCGCCACTTCCTTTCCCCAGGGCCCCGCCTGCAGCCCCTGGCGGCGCCGCCAGAGGGGTGGGGACGGACGGAACCCGCCTGGGAGCTCGGGAGCCTGAGCCCTAAACCGATCAGGGTGCCTCAGCCCTGGGAAGGCGTTAGGAGCGGAGCGCAGGCCGAGCGGGGAGGGCGCGTCCAGAGCCCAGGCGCCCGCGGGCCCGGCGCGCAGTCTCTCCTCGGCCCCGGCTGCCCGCAGAATCCCTTTGCCCCCGGGGCTCCGCTTCGCTCGGCACCCCATTCCCCAGTGACCACCTCCGGGGTCACCAACCCGCACCGACGTCCAGATCTTAGCAGCTCCAGGCTGGGTACCCCGGATCTGCAGCGATCACCCAGCTCCCGACCACCAGATTTCCTCTTGGACCAGCGTGGGGGGAGTGAGGGGGGGGGGGGTACTAGCTTCTAGTCTCCAATCACCGTTCACCGTCACCCTCACGGTGGGACCGAGTGGAACCTCAGGCCGCCGGCCCCCGACCCCTTCTGGGATCTTCAGCCGGGTGGCGCGGGACCTACCCGCGGGATCCACTCCCTAGTCTCGGGAAACAGATCTCCTCGGTCCCAAATCGGAATTGCCCCCTCCCCGCAGACCCGGAGCCCGGGGAGATCCACTGGGTCTCCCCGCCTCTTCCCCGGCCAACTTTGCCAACTTTTCTCCCGGGGCCTCAGCCGAGCAGAACTTAGTGGCCATCGCCGGCCGCAGCCTCCCCAGCCCCCTCGATGGCCCGGGACAGGGGGCATTTGGCCGGACCCCACCCCCCCGCGGCCGCCGCGCAACCTACCCTGGAGCCGCCGTCACCGCCGGCCCGCGGCGCGCCGCCACCTGCCCGCAGCCCACAGCACCTGCCTTCGCCGCCCGCGGCCCCGCGCAGCCTAGCCTGCTGGGGGCGGGGCTTCGGGCGGGGAAGCGCCCCCCGTCGTCATGGGAACCGCGGCGGGCGGCGCCTGCGCGGAGGGCCCCGGGGCGGAGCATGACTTTGCGGGACCCGCGCTGGCCCGCGAGCTCAAGGTCCTGAGGACTGG